CACACACACACACACACACACACAGTGACGGCAAACAGAATGAAACTAAAAACCACTACAGTCTCACAAACTGCCCCTGAATTGAATCAACAACTCTGTAACACAGTTTCAACAAACCCTGAATGGAGATGCCTGCCATTTGGAAACCACTTTCATCCACTGCCAGCACATAAAGAGCAGTAAACCTGCAGGACCCCTGAGATGTAGGAAATTGGAAAACGGGTTGATGAGCTGGATTTCACACTTTTTCCATCATTCTGTTTGCATTTACATTTGAAGGAAACTCAAATTCTCGTGTCTGATGGGCAGCTCGTTCTGCAGACACACTGTAAAAAAATAAAATAAAATAAAAAATCTGTATTGAAATGGTGAAACTTGGCAGCAAGAAAGCCAGAGAACATATCAAAAATGTATTGAAGAACATTCAGATGTTTAAAAACTGCAAAAATGGTGAAAACACTGACAAATACCTGTAACAGTGTAAAACAGTAAAACTGTACACAAACAGTGAAAGAACAAATAAATTACAGCTTGTGAAAACAGATTTTTGATGTAGACATTATGTACATTTTTGCCCTTTTTTAAATGATTACTTTTATTTTTTTACATTATATATATATGTATAATGCATATATCATATACAAATTAAAATGAACTTTTATTCTGTGATTTTATGAGTTGCATTCATAAAATTTGTAAAATAACAGTTAAAAAAATGACTAGTCCCTTTTCAATCCTTAATAATTGCTCATTTTTCTTATAAATAACAGCAAATATCTATAAAATAACTAAACTATTTGCCAGTTTAAATACAATTACAAAAAACAAACAAACAAACAAGATTTTACAGTTAAACATTGTAAAGAACAAATCACCATTTACCAAAACCCATATTTTTGATGTGGGCATTTTTGGAGAGTCAACATATAAACCAATACCTTTTTCTGTGATGTTACTAATTATTATTCATAATTAAATGAAACAAGGAAAACCAGTAAATAACAGTATGCTGTTCATGAGATTTACAATTAAAAACAGTTAAAAATGTAATTTTTTTTACAGTGTAGAGATGTGATCCAACCACATCAGCTGCACTTTAAAGGGAAATACAGTATAATGCTGAAGGCTTATGTGACAGTCTGGGGGTAGGAAAAGGCTTCATTTAATTTAATTTCTGTAATTCACATTGCAGAAAAGGTTTAGTTATTGCATGTTAGATTGTTTTATAATGTCTTAAGGATTCTGTTGAGTATTTTCTATATATCAGTATATTACTTGATGCTAACATGTTCTCTTGAGCAGGTAGAAAATTACAAAAACATACAATTTTAACCTCACAGACTGTATCTCAGGCTATAATCTCCATCCAGACTAACATGCCTGAAATGAAATTACCTTCAGTTAAGAAGGTTCCTAACTGAGTGAAATCCTCCATACGTGGCAGCCGTGATAAGAGCAGCTCGAATTCTTTAAATACTAAGGAAACATGCTTCAGTGCTTCCTTTCTTATCTCCTTTACCATAGGAGACACTGGTCCATCCTATACAAAAGCAAAAGCGATAACGCCATCCCACAATTCCATGCAGCATCGACATCAAAGCAACACACGATCCAAGGCAGACTCACGTCAGCATCATCCGCAGTAGAATGATTACCGAGTGCGTGAGCAGTCATATTTTCTTGGCACGAACGCTTTCTTTTCCTTTATGAATTCTCCTTTACAAGTGTTTAGGAAGGAAAAGACACAGAAAGCCGTAATGACTCAAATGGGGGTCTGCATCATCATTTCAAAAAGACTTTCGTCTGCTTACACACCAGATAGTTTCTGAAAATCTTCACGGAATTTTCCAAAAGGTGTTTCGTCAGTAACCTAAAACTGCACATTTGCATGTGGATGAAAAGCCCAAAAAAGAAAAACTAGAATATGCTCCAGCAGAATAAAAACAGCCTGAGAGTGAGGAAAACAGGTGCTTACAACTAAAACTCATCCACTGTCACATCTGGCAACAATCACAGCTCAACAGCAGCCTGAGCTACAGAGAAAGGTCACAGAGACCTGAGCTTGTCTCCGGATTTCAAGCTACTTCTTTTGCTTTTTCTTACAGAAGCGGGAGTTTATGCCGAACTCCTCTGCTACACCAGAAAGCGTCTGCTCCCCCCGTTCGTCCCCTCAATGTCACTGCTTTCTAATAAACTTTGTTCCAGAGGCTTGTTTGCGCTGTAATTAGCGTGGCATCGTGTTAGGCTGCCCACCCCCAAAATCACACACTGTGCAAATGACAGAACAAAACACACACTCATAAACCGCCATCACGCCTTGTGCATCGGAACACAAGAGCTGTGGTCGTTACATCGCTTTTCCCCAGTACACTCATTTTACTGCGTACTATAGGATGTAAACACCTAAAATGACTTAATTTTACTCATCAGTAGTGTTTTGCTTGTCTCGGTGCATACTACTCCATATAAATCCAATAAACATTGTCTGGTCAGTACACTTGATCATGATTTGTTTACTGGTTAGAAGCAGTAAAAATCCGTTCACCTGGTGTGGCTGTACTGGACGGATTCGACTCCTCGTCGGTCTTTTTTGTAGCCACGTCCTCTTTTCCTGCGTCTTCGCTCGGTGTTTGGGTTCCCTCCTCATCTTCGCTCCCCACCAGGTAGTTCCAAGGCTTCCACATGGACTTAACGATCTTTGAGATCACCTTAAATAACAAGCGAACAGACTGTACCTTAGTGACTCAATATTTAAACCTCTGAGCCTCGAGCAGACTCTGGGTGTTGTGTTCTTGTTATTTTTTTTTGCTCACTGTGGCCTCATTTTTCACTGCAATCTACAATATAAGAAGAGAGAGCTCCAATATGTTAACTTAGAATGAAATAATTAGTGACTCTGCGTAGATATTTCACTATTATTATACTTCACTTCTCTCCTATCGGCTCAACACAGCCTGCAGGTCAACCCAGTTTGGCCAAAAAAGTCACATAATGTTTGTCAGTGACTAATAATGCAGAGGAGAGATTCTTTTTTTTAAAAACTATTTTATGTTTTACAGAATATGATTGGTGCCATTGGTAGATTTTTACATTTTTTTCAAATGACACATCGTAATTTTTGGAGCGAACCTGAATATAAGCCGCACCACTAACTTTAAAAAGAAAAAAAATGGTACATATACAGGCCGCACTTGTCTATAAGCTGCAGGTGTCCACGTTGTAACAGGAGATGTTTACACAGAAAGATTTTTTAAACTTTTAGTAAAATACGTACCGGTAACATACACAAATGCTTTATTTCCAAACAGTGCCTGTAACACGGCTGGCTAAGAAAATAAAAATACAGTAACCTACCAGGAAAAGTCATTAGTCGCTATCTTCATCTTCCTCCTACACACTAAAACCACTAAAGTCGTCTTCTTCAGTGTCAGAATTGAACAGCCTCAGAATTACTTCGCCACACACTTCCTCAGTCTCTCTTTCGCTCTCAATGTCAATTTCATCTCGAGGCAAATTCATAAAACTCGTAAAAATCCATAAATTAGCCGCATCATTGTTTAAGCCGCAGCTTTCAAAGCGTGTGAAAAAAGTAGCGGCTTATAGTCCAAAAAATGACGGTATTTAAATATCAAGATTAAAAGCTTTGATTTGGCTAAGTTCTCTGACGGAACTGGAAGTTGACAATCCAACAACAGTCTCTGCTCTTACAGTTTCAAGCTCTGATAAATGGTGTAACTTTTGTGATTTAAAAAAAATAAATAAATAAAAGCTGCTGGTAAGGCTTACAGGTTCAAATGGTAAAAGAAATATGATGACAGAAACAGAAAACCGACCTTCTTCTCAGCAGGAGTTGGTTCTACTGGGGGTCGGAGAAACTCCTCGGAGTCGGGGCCGGGCTCCAGCGGCTCTCCCCAGTCGAAGGAGCTCTGACCTGGGATTAACTGGAGGGTCACGAATGACCTTGAAGACACCGAGGACCAGGGGTCTGAGGCTTAAGACGACAAGGTGAATGATTATTCACACTATCTTTGGGTATCAATAAAAGCAATCTTTCTAACAAGCAGCCAGGCTTACAGGGGTCAGCAGCGTGGGGCGAAGTCTCCTCCTCGAGGTCAACCAGGCCGGTCCAGTTGGATGGTGAAACACTGCTGCCGTCTGAAGAAGCTGCATGAATTAGATGGATTGAATTGTTTTTGTAACCAATTATAATAATTCTCACTGCGTCTATAATGACTGATTGGGTAATTAATCAGCTGCCCCGACAGATTGCAGTTAAATGTGAAACCTCTGCTGGTGGTGGTTTGCTGTGTAGTCGGGTCAGGACCGTCTGTCCCAGTAGAGCCGGCATCACTTGAGCCTGTTAGATAGCTCCAGGGCTTCCACAGGGAGGTGTAGATCTGAGAGATGGAGCTGGTATCCTTCACTTTGCCTGCGAAACCAGTTGAAAAGATTTGCTGTTCACATGACAACCTCTGAGGAGTTCTGAGTCTGAAGGATCTTCTGTGTTTTATATTTGCTTAAACCAACTTCAGTCAACACAGAAGCCTGAACTGACAGCTGAACATCCAGATATTTATTTTCAACATATCCTGTCCTCTTTTTCTCTCTCCGTCTCTCTCCCACGGCTTCTGTCAATCCAACAGCATCTCAGATACACGATGGTGGGATGCGTACTGTGGATCACAAATCAGCGTTGCCATAGCTACAATAGTGGCAATGACATTTATTGTCATTCTTAATGCATTAACAGCACTCAAGGCTTCCTCCAGGAGTGAGATGTAGTTATGTGCTCGTATTTATTCTTTTCTATAGTCGTGTTTAATCTGCCTGCTTTAATTTATGATACAAACCTGAAACTGTTTTATGTTAAACAATTTTGTCAAACTGTAAATTCACTGTAATCCTGTCTTGTGCTGCCTAATCTATCAGTAATGAGTCGTATTTACGGTGATACCCTCCTGTGGGGCAGTACCTCTGTAGCAGTAGGCATCGTACAGCGCTGTAGCGTTGTCAGCGGTGCTGTTGGGGGAGACGGTGCGGACTCCTGGCTGGCTCCCTCCACATTCGGGGCGAGGCCAGGCCACCGGGTAACGGACGCTGCCATCAGACAACCAGCCCGGGGCGCAGCTGTCCAGGCCGGCCCTCCAGGCCAGATAAAGCTGTCCCACTGTGGCCAGCTGGCCCCCCAGGGACACACAGCGGTCTGAGGCTGAAGACAGCGATAGTCTGCCAGGGACTGAGGAGTGAAACACTTCACCTGGAGGAAGGAAACCAGACTGGGGTTTGTCAACAAGCAGATGATGCCTGTTGAATTTCTAGCAGGTAGACACCTCGGTTAGATAACTGCAGACTGTGAAACCACACATAAAGTCATATTACATAATGCTCATTAAAGTACAAGGCTGGAGGTTTTCTATATTTTCTCTACCCTTCCAGAGCCTTTGACCCCAGACCCAATCATTCCAAATAAAACCACAAATTTATTAACCCTGTGAACCACAAAACCTTGGGGATGGAAAGGCATGTTTTCATTTCTTTTCTTTCTTTTTTTTCTAAGAAGTCAAAATGACATCATTTATTAATGAAAGAAACTGGAAAAGCAGAAATATTTTCTCTAATGTTCAACTTTCTGCAGGTTTGTGAACAAATTATACATGATGTGTCGTTCCATCAGGAAAATGAACCAAATCTATGCTTAAAACTGTGATATTCCATCACAATCAAGGTGTTTGACATATTTCATTTGACAAAAAACTAAAAAAATGTTTTTTTAACTATATAATTTTAAAATTTTTAATTACATTTTTTTTTTAAAAAGGATCTAAGCAGATTCCTTTCAGCTGAATTTCAGGCAGTGCTTACATAAATCTAATAGTAGACATATATGGAAACGATGCAGAAATACTGAAATATGTAAATAGTGAAAGATCTATAGTATGTAGAGCCACTATTTTTTCCTCCAATGGTCTCCTTGTTTTACATGTTGTTTACCAGTACTTCTACTTCCATCCATTATCTATACACCGCTTAATCCTCATTAGGGCCGCGGGGGGGCTGGAGTCCATCCCAGCTGACTCAGGGTGAAGGCAGGGGACACCCTGGACAGGTCACCAGTCTATCACAGGGCTACACTTAGAGACAGACAACCAAGCACACTCACATTCACACCTACAGACAATTCTACTTATGTAAAATACTTTTTTTTTTTTGAAGATTTGTGGCATTAGAACTGTGTCATACCGCACAAAATACATTCATTTTTAGTTGTCTCTGTTTCTAGCCATGGTTGCGCTGTTTCCATAGAGGTGCAGGAGTTTATATCGCAGAATGAAAAATGAGCCCACAGTGAGTAAAAACTGTGACCGGAGCAAAAACTTCTCAGGAACTACTTGGTTATTCACCTAAAACAACCAGGAAACATAATTTTTTTTAAGCAAACTTTACTCAAACTGGTATAACTGGTGTTTTTGTTGATTATTTTAATATGTGAATCAATAGAAATTTGTCAAAATATGAAGCATGTACAGCTGCAGTAGAGCGTGTAGGGATCTGAGTGAAACTCCTCCACTGCTCATGTGCTTTTTGATGGATACCAACTCACTCAGTGCAACGGTGTGAATTACTGGTGTGTGTTTTTTTTCACAGGTTTTGCTCTACAATAGAGCTCTCCAGCACAGAGTAGAAGAACATCACTCTTTGGCCACACAAACAACATGTACTAGCAGAATCAGTTCATTGGTGGTTTGTGTCTTTTTATGGGATTTACAGTAACAAAGAGATGAAAACAGCATCACCAGAGTAGCCCTTAAATGCTACAGATGCAAACATCAGTGCTGTGAAGTGTTTTATGTTTGTGTGTGTGCGTACCATCCAGTTCTTTTGCAAAACAGTACACATCAAACAGCTCTTTCGGGTCCCTCTTCCCATAATTCCTCACTCCAGCTGAGTACTCCTTGTGTCCATAGCAACCAAGCTCTGGCAACTGGACAGAATAGCTGTGGAGAAAACCATGTGGGAGTCATAACTGGGAATCAACCTCTTTCTTTTTTCTTAAAAAAAAAAAACAAAAAAAACCCTCATAATATGAAATAAGAAGCCTAAATGTCTTTTACTGTATGAAGATTATCTCAGCTCACTTTATTAAACTGTTTCCTTTCATTAAGATTCTAAATGTCAGTTAGGAATAAATTCATATTTGTATTCTTTTTTTTAAAGGGCAAGGGACGGGAATAAATTAAAATACAATTAACAGCAAAGAAAGAACAGCAATAAAGAGAAGAGCATGTTTCTGGAGCAGATGAAGTGACAAAACAGAGGAATATTAATTGTGATAGCAGATGATCCAAGAGGAGAGGGAACAAACAAGATGCCAAAGAAAGTAGAGGATTAGCAGGCATATAAAAAGACATACAGCAGCTTTTTTAAAATAGATTAAGCGACCAAAAGAAATTGAAATAATTATGATAAATAAATAATCGCGTATGATTTTTTATATACAAGAAGTTCATCATTTGAGAATCCACCAGCGACTGGTTAGCCTAGCTTAGCATAAGACTGGAATACTGAGACTGGAACAGAAAAACAGGCAGCTTGGCTCTGTCCAAAAAAATAAAAAGAATATCTGCCTGCCAGTACATCTAAAGTTTACTCATAAACACAGTTGTTATCTCTCATTTGTAGATTTGGCTGAGGTGATGTGCAAGAGTATTTCTTGGCCAGGAGAAATTGTTTCCCCCATGTTTCCAATATTTATGCTAAAACTTTCCTTTAAGCAAAAAAAATGCTCAAAATTCTGTTTCATAAATGTTTTTTTTATCACTCATTGTTAATAATTTATAGAACTTGTGGACTAACTTCAGGTAAAACAACCTGGAATTTTAATGTATCGAGTCATGAATTAATTAATATTAAAAAAACCTAATTTGCAGATTAATGAATAATAATAATGATAATAAAAAAAAAACCTTCGCTGCAACTAGCAAGCGACTCAAAGAGGGCGTGACAAGAAAAAAGAAGTTATTGGCGGTCTCCTCACCGGACAGTCTGATCATCCAACCAGCCGGCTGCACAGCTGCTGAAGCTGTCATGGTACGCTGCCCACAGCTGGGCCGGCGTGGCGATCTGAGCCGAGTTTTCCTGGCAGGCTCGCTGGGCATCAGAAAACGAGAGGGCGTAACGGGCGCTGGGAGCCTGGTAGTGAAACACCACACCTACACAGACACAGACAGGTGGCAAACCTTTCTCTTGATCTGACGGATACGCCGACGCACAGCCAAGTTCAAAATCAATAAATCACTGGAATGCAATCAAAGAACATGCGATCGAGGCCGCAAACAGATCAATCAAACACAATGCCAGTGTTCGTCTGAAATTTCACAGATGAGCACACAGAAAAATTGTCATTGTTATTCAGTCCAAACACTTTAATTAAAAGAATTACACAATTATTCGAGTGGAAAACTAGATAACGAAAACAAGCAATGAGAGCGACACTAATTAAGGCAGTCATTATAATATTGATATGCTGAATCGATGTTATTAATGTTTAATTAAATTTTTAAAAAAAGCTAAAAGGGGGTTGGCTGTGCTCCTGCTTTAAATGCTGCCATTATCGGTCTTACATTAGCACAACAAGTCTAGACTGCAATAAAACACAGAAATCAATTAAGCTGGAAGAAGAATTTTAAAGCCTTTTGTGTTAATGCAGTTCAGACTGTGAGCAGCATTTCTGCTTACTTTAAATGTTTCCTTCGGGGAGCTGTGCGGTGGCACTAAACTTTTTTTTTTCACAGAGAATTTCCTCGTCCGCGGCTGCTGCACTTACCAGAGACCACCAGGGGCACAGTGTCTCTCTCATAGTCGTTACCCACGACAACCTGACAGTGGTAAGTGCCTGAGTCGTTGGTGCGGAGACTGGAGATCTCCATGGTAGCATTCAGAGGATTGGCAGCGTATCCTGGCAGCATGACGCGGCCGCTGAAAGCCTTATTCACCTTGATTACATCACCTTTGGCACAGAAAGAGAGGTTTCTCCGTTACAAGTGTCTGTTGGCATCCTGCAAAACTTTCGAAGTAGAAAATAAACTTTAAGCAGAACCTCGATATGCGCTCATGGAAAAGATGTTTCTGATCTCTAATTATCAGTAGTCGCACATTAACATACAACGGTCACGGTTATGGTTAATTCCTTTAAAAGAGTTTTGTATTTTATGTTTAAGAAAGTGTGAGTGTTAGAAAAAATAGAAAAAGATTACACTGAAACTGTTAAAAGTTAGTGTTTATACCGCAAACATGGTATGAAGCTGCTATTTATCTGTCATTTAACAGAATTATTTAACAGATAAGTGTTGCTAATAGATGAAAAATAAATAAATGTCAAAAACCATAAAAATATCACTAATACAATAGCAACCACGTTTATTTTACAAACATATAAA